TATACGTATATATATATATAAAACCATGTTCATTTCAATTCATGAAATGTGATTTCTACAACCATATTTCCCACCGGCTCATCCATCGTTTTAGGTGGTCTTTTTAGGTATGATGCTAAGTTCTACGTTTTGGAGTAATTTAAGTGACAGATATGGCAGCAAACAATCCTTGACATTGTGTGCAATATTATTGTTCTACTACGCTTTCTTAAGCTCCTTCTCACCGAATTTCCTTTGGATTCTATTACTCAGAGGACTGGTTGGGTTTGCCATTGGCTGTGTACCACAGTCGTAAGTATCCGTCCTTCGCGTAAAACTGCGTTCCTCGATTTTTCTTTTTTTCACGTGTCTTTCTGTTATCGGCCCGTAGGGTAACGCTGTACGCAGAATTTCTTCCATCGAAGCAAAGAGCAAAATGTGTCATCTTATTAGATGTAAGCTGATGTCAGAAGATCGCGCATGAGTTTGAGAAAACTGACAGAGAGAAAGAGAGAGAGAGAGGGAGACTACCGATCGACGTTCAAGGTCCATACGTAATGTAAAATACTGTTTTCAGTGTTTTTGGGCCCTCGGTGCTTGCTTCGAAGTGGCGATAGCATTGGCGGTCATGCCAACGTTCGGTTGGAGATGGCTTCTTATTTTGTCGACGATACCGCTCCTTGTATTTGCTGTCATCACCCCGGTACATACTAGAATGATAAAAGAAGTAATTCGAAAAGCGAAATTGTATCCACCTTTCACGCGTATTATTTTTTGTTGTTGCTCGCAGTGGTTGCCAGAATCGACAGCGTTCGATATGACCAGCGGTAGAATGGACAAGGCCGTTTCAACGCTGGAGCGGGTAGCTAGAGAAAATAAAAAGCCTTTACCTCCAGGAAGATTGGTCATGGATCGCTTTTACCAAGTGATGAATCACGGTAAACTAAGAGACGTATTAAGCAAAGAAATGTGTAGAACGTCTACCCTGCTTTGGCTCGTATGGTAAACGTTGATCCGATTATACTACACTGGTGCACTTGTTCTTCTGTGATGATGGCGCAGTACGGTGGTCAGGTGTTTGTTTGTTTGTTTGTTCGCGGATCTAGGATGAGCACAGCGTTCTGTTATTACGGCGTTGTATTGATGACCACGGAACTGTTTCACACGTCGTCCGAGCAGTGTGCCGGTATTTGGGAAGACAAGAATGGGAAGGGGACCTGTCAGCTCGACTGTCGTTTGGAACGTAGTGATTACATCGATCTTCTCTGGACGACGCTGGCCGAGTTTCCCGGGATCTTCTCGACGATCTTCGCGATCGAGAAGATCGGTCGTAGGAAAACGATGGCGTTTCAGCTGGTCATGTTTTCCGTGCTCATCTGTCTCCTTGGTAGAACATGCCTGCTGAGCAGGACAGCTTTGACGCTGGCCATCTTCTTGGCCAGAGGCTTGATCGCTGGTGTATTTCAAGCGGCTTACGTTTACACTCCGGAAGTATACCCGACTCATTTGCGTAGCACCGGAGTCGGTACGTGTAGCGCGATGGCTAGAATCGGTGCGATGGTCACCCCGTACATAGCACAAGTGTTCCTTCAATGGTCCATCACTGGAGCGATGGCAATATATGCCGTGGCTGCACTGTGCGCTGCCGCTGCTACTCTGGCTCTGCCTGTAGAACCAAAAAATTCGGCGTCGAACGGTACTGCTCAGGAAACGAGGTGAACTACAATGTCCTTCTCGCTCTCTAAACTGCCACTTCTACTCCCTCCCTCTGTTCATCGACGACGACGACGACGATGCGGGTGTAGTATGGCACCGTGTCGAGTACTCGCGTTGTTAATGATGTTCGATTGCTTCGGCACTATTACGTTCATATACACGTTCATCAGATTAAGTTAACAAGCTTGGCGGACAAACGATTATATTTACATTAATGCTACTTTATTTCATTTTTGTTTTATTGGTATATACATACACGATTAACATTATTTCTCTATCCCTGATTAATTTTCATCCCGGTCGGATAAGAATGCCTAACTTGTTCAAGACGATAGGTCCATCTTTCCACTTTCAGTAGCAACACAATAGGTTCTAAAACATGTACATATATATGTATGTATATGTAACTTATACATATGAAAATGTA